TCTTACTTCAGGCCCTAAGGCACCGCTACGTACATAGTGAACCCAGTGAGCTTAAGTCCTCAGCTAGTTCATCTTTATCTACTTCAATTGATCTTTCTATGTCCTCCTCTCCCCTCTTCTTTCTCTGTTTCTCTTCTTCCTGCTCTGCCTCTTTAGCAAGCAGCAGTTCTTAATGATCTGACTCACTCAATCAGTCGCATAATCTCTGACAAGGGCACCTACCCTTAAGAAATGTATGTGTGTGCTCTGGAAGCACTGCCTCCAATTACAAATGAATCACAGTGCTGAGTCACTCACCCCCTCCCCATCTCTCCCCTCAGGCAGACTGAGCTCCGCTGCGCTTACACACACAGACACACACACACATTTTGTATATACACCATGTTCCCCCTTCAGGAACACTAGCTGAGGAAAAACACGGATAACAAGTTGAGAGCTAAGAGCCAGGATCAATTCTGTGTGTATCAGGTCGTAGGATTTGTGTAAGTGGGAGAAAGAGAAGCAGGGACTAAAAATGGTTCAAAATGTAAGAGCAGAAAGTGGAGACAAACACACACACACACACACACACACACCATCTGCAGTCATGGACCAAATTATGAGAATAGTTTGTATCTGCTCTCCTCATCTAGAAGATTAATGCTGTTTGTTTTCCTGCGTAAACATCCTCCAGAAGATTGTGGGAACACTGGCGGAGCTCTGGCCCTTGGATCAGTGATCACACAGCTGAGATACACACACTCACATCTGTAGTCTGAAGGTGCATCTCATTCACATGGGAGCGCAACGCTGTGATCAAAGAATGATGCAAGTTCTTTAACTGTGAAGTCTGTGTTTGATGTGAAAGTACAACTTGTCACCAAATCCAGTTCAACTATAAGTATTTCCTGAGAAACATCAAAGGGTTGTTTCACATTAAAAAGCATACAATCATAAATAATAATCACATTAAACTGCATCGGCAGTGGACAAATACATCTAATGTAAACACACCAATCATATTATTTTATCATTTATAGTATTGTATTCATTCTGTGACTTACCTCTAATGCTGTGGTCAGTGATGCAAATATAACTATATGCAAAGTTGTAATTTAAGCTACTCAGATATATATGATCATTAGCTTCTACTTGATGAGCAACAATTTTAAAAATCTGCTTACATGCATCAATAATAACAAAATATTATGTCCCTCAGCCATTCAGCCACAATATCTCTTCTTTTATAAAATGTAATGCTGTTTTATTTAGAGCTGCACCATTCAAGATTTTTACATTAACAATGGATCAAATTACAATGTGTTTATTAACTATTCGATCTGAACAGAACATTTTAGTGTCTTGCAGCTCATTGTTTTGGTTTTATGGTCGGCAACTTCACCGTGATGTTTCATTCTTTCTTCTTTTTTCAGCCTATTTTTTGCAGCAGGTAGATTTTCCATGAAACAAAAACCACTGTACACTATCAGCCCTCCACCAAACAACAAAGTTAGTTGTTAATCTAGTGGATCATATTATTAATAAAGACACAGATTTTCCCTCTCAGGAAGTGTTGGATTTTTATTTACTCAGAAACTTTTTTTTAAAAACATCCCATCTCACAATGTTTAAGAAAGTGATGAAAACAATCTGCTCCCTGACCCATACCACATCTTTCCACCGAGCTTTGTGGAAATCCATCCAGTTGTTTTTGTTTGATGCTGCTGACAAACAGACATAATCTCCTGCTATGTCATTGTGTTTCCAGTTTACTAAACTACCCACAATTTGTCTAATGATCAGTTAAGGCGGTTTCTTTAAAAGTCAAATATCCAGTAGCCAAATATCACAACATCCTGTGACCATGTAGGGTCCTGGCCTTCATCATGAGAACCACTGCTGCCACCAGAACTTTCCCTGTACATAGTTTGAGGAGAGTCTCCAAATCTGAGATAACTTGATTTTCAACAATAATATCATTGTTGCTCTTGTTAATCCTCAGATCAAACTGTCAACAGTTTTTATTGATGCTACTTCCAGTTGAGGATAAAGTCCTGATGAAAACTGTGGATAACATATTTCAGCGGATTATCCAAAGAAACAACAATATCTTACCATTTCATTTAATAATATTTTTCAATGCTGTGGACAACAAAATCACATTTCCATTTATTTATTGCATTGAGATGGAGGCAGAAATCCCAGAGGTGGTTATTTACTCTTACTTTTTATTTGTCTTTAGATTTCTAATGATCATATATTGGGGAAAGGGGTTAAAGAAAAAGGGAGTCCTCCACCGGAAATACATCAATGTTAATTCCAGTATAATCTACTTAAACTGAAAAGCCAAACAAAAAAATCTTTATATTGGACTATTGTGTATATCCCTGCGACACCATCCCTGGCTCCATCTCCTCAGGGAGGAGGCACTCAGTTTGTTGATAAGAGGAGAAGCACTACAGTCACACTTGTGTTGGAAAGTAGGTCACATATCCCACGTTTCACCGCATGCCCAAAGCAGATGGGTGACAGCGGTAATTGGCATCAGGGACGATCGCACGCTGTGATGGCTCTCTCTCCCGAGATACCGTAGCTCTACCTTTCCCCCTGCTGTCTGCTGGAGTGTCTGCTAATGCTCGGCTGCCAAAGTTGAAAAAGACTGCTGCACCCCAGCCCTCCCTACGAAGAGCACAAGCACAAAAGGTCATGGGGAGTCAGGATTTTCTAAGAAAAACTTTTTCTGCAGAACTGGAGCTGCATGTCGTTCAATCTTACTTCATCATAAGAGGCCTGAAGCAATAACAGCCGCGCTCTAGCAGTTTACCATGTTCTTCATCTAATATATATATTTACATTAAATACAACACACTAAGTAGCAGAGACTGATGGGAATATCATCAGTTGTGCAAGTATATGGTCATAATTAATACATTTAAAGACCTGATGATTAGTGTTGAAAAATCAGGAAAGTCACCAAAAGTCCACCCTGAGGGGACCATGACCAATTCATGGCAATCCATAAAAGTTTAAATATTCCACTAAACCTCAACCTCATGATGGGGTAAGAGTAAAAGTCAAGAGACAAAAGCCTCTTCAAAATCCCACGGTCATCCATCAAATAGTGTCAGTGTGCTGTGCACCAACAGACCGATGTGCCCTTCCCCTGAAACTTCACTGATAATATTAAGGTTGTGATCATTACCTTTAAAACTATGTTTAAAACAAATAAATAAGGTTTCGCCATCGTCTACGCCCGCGTCCTCACAAATCACGGGCTAAACCCAGGACGCACGGCTAATTAGAGAATGATAATATCATTTAAATGGTCTGAATTATCAGGATGGATTAAACCTGGTACATTAATTCCATCCAACCATCCACTGGAGTCAGTGTCAGCCAGTACAGACGATCCAGTGAAGAGAGGTGAACACAACACAGCTATGATCTCATCTCCTGACTCATGATAATGAATAGCCAACACAGTGAGGCAGAGTCATAAGATCGTTTTCAAAGCCTCGATCTCTATAGGAACTGTACATAATATCAAATGTAATTTATGGATCAGTCTATTGCATAGACTCACTCCAGAGAGAATAACATGTTCACCCTTTTGTTGTACTGCCCTTTTCATTCTTTCATATCCTCATTAAACAGGACTGAACAAATAAAAAGTGATTGTTTTTTTCTCTCCGTGCCCTCGGAGGTCTGTGAGTGCTACAGGAATAGTCTTGTTCCCCGAGAGCCACAGCTGCTGTTCTGCTGAGAGAGCTCGTGAAGAATTTGTCAACGTGAACCCTCATGACCGCTGAAGAAGATTTATGGGATCCTGTGTCGCCCACCTGCTCCTTTTTCACCCCCCCACTGAGGCCCAATGCCTCACTCTTCACCTCACCCCCCCCACCCCTAGTTCTTCCCTTTCTGTGCCACTGCTTTTCATGTCCCCGCCATATTCACCATGTCTTCTTCTCACTGCTTGTTAGAGTTGACAGAAATAGCACACTTGATGAATCACTACACCGGTCCTTTCAGAAACCAGGTGCTATCAATAAGAATTTGTGCCTATCGAAAAAAAAATATATATCAGACATATCTCATTTTGAGTGAAGTATTTATTCAGACATGAGATACTTCCCTAATATTTGAGAGAAACAGCGGCCAGTTAGTGTGACTGCTGTTCAGAGATGTGGGCGAGTCCGAGGCCAAAAACTGCAGACCCCTCGGCTTCAGATGTGGATGTACTGCACTTTTCCTATCCTGGGAAAACCAGGGTTATTTAAAATGAAGACATGTTTAATGTTAATGATTGCATTCAATATTTAGATCAGGGTTTCTGCAAATTTAAATTAGTTAAAGTCAAGTCTTTTTCTGAACTTTTCAAGACTTGGATTTTAGATTTTTTAAGACCCCACAGAAACCCTGTATATGAACCCTTAGGATTTAAGTCATGTTTTCAGATATTGTCAGATGTAACTGTATATTCTTTATCAATTGGAAAAAGTGTGTGAACATCTTAGATAATTTTGTCAACAAATTCCAATTTAGTCTACTTATTAAAGCCAGACTAGGTGTAGGTTAGAGCTACTTTGATTTATGAAAAACACCAAAACAAACACCACAACAGAACATTTTAACTTCACTATTTACAAGAAACATGAGGTTAACCATGTCAACTGAAAAAAAAAGGATCTCAACTGTGGATTTATTTTCTGCTAATTCACTATGAATCTGGTTAAAACTATGTATAATATTTTATCATTTAAAATTTTGGATTAATTTTTGCATAATCTGTAATTGTAAAGCACTTTGTGCATTTTTTTAAAGGTGCTTCAACAATATTAAGTTGTTATTATTATGTGGGGCTGACAAGTCACAATAGTTAAGATCAGTTCACATTTTGTGAGTAGACCCAATAAAAATAAGATGAATTATAAATAATTTGCTTAGTTACTCTGAAATGTAAAATGTAAAATTTTAATTCTTTCTGCAGATAATTTTCAAAGCCCTATTTAGATAGACTTTTAAGCATCATGTCATCAAAATCATCAAGTTCATTAAATCACCATAAAATGTGTCGGGATGATCTGTCAGTGGTGAGTAAACGTGTGTTTACCATCGACATTACAGATGTGAAACAAGTATAAACAAGTCAACAAATATAAATACTGCAAAAAAAAGCAAATTACAAACCCATTTTTAATAGACTTGAAGGGACATAAGGTCAGGACATGTATCAGATTTCATGAAAACAAGTTTTTTATGTATGTAGTATTAATTCCCAAAACACTCTCTCCGTCTGCAGCACATTAATTACACCTTAACACTTCGTCTCGGTACTAGCTGTACCTTTGTTTCAGTTACTTCCTGTGAATCACAAATGTAAGTGAAATTGAAACTAAATCTTAGTTACTCACAGGCAGACTTCAGCAATTCAGATACGTACGGTACAGTCACTCTGAGACAGCAGCAGTCTTATAAATTACCAAAATAAGGCACATACACACGTAGGAAAATAAACATTTCTATAGCATAATTTTACACTTGCTCCCCCTATGATTTATTTATTTAAATAAAGATAAAAATACTACAATGAAACAGTGTAGTGAACAAAGCCTTTGTACAATATCCTTAAAATTCACATTTTAATGGTACATACATTTTATTCTTGAAATCAAAATCAAAGACTAACTTTTGCCCTTTTTGTAGCTGAAAGTGCAGCAGTTTAGACCTATTAGGTGTAAAGTCGGTACAGTTTGTATGGTGGTTAACCTCCGCTGAGCTCATTTGGTCCCACAGGTGCCTCAGACGTGGTAGAGTGGCACCACTCTGCTGATGTCCTGTCTACAAATTGGGCATTGGCGGCGTGGAAGCGCCTGGTAGCAGGTGTGACAGCAGCACACATGCCCACAGTCCAGCAGAATACAGTTACGAGGCTGATTGAGGCAAATCACACAGGGATTCTCTACACGTTCCTCTGCCGCATCCTGAGGCGCTCTGGGGTCGGCAACGTTAGCAGGCGCCCTGTGGGCTTCAGCCTGCCATCTCTCAAATTCCCTCCTCTCCTGCTCCCGCTGCCACTGAGCTTTTAGGTGGTAGTAGTAGCGTCGACCCACCCAGAAAAGGACCACCGCCCCGACAAAGGCAGAGGTAATGGTCAGCGCCTTCCACCAAACAGCCACGTTCTCTTGGTCTTGTCGCAGGGTGTCAAAGTCCATATTGCCTAAGAAGTACTGTGCACTATTGGAAGGGGGCCGAAGATTCAGGGTGCCATCTGTGTCTAGTATCAACTCACCTACTCCTGTGAGAGTTGCACCCACCTGTGAAAAGAGTGGAATATTTGCTCAAGGTATTGTGGAGGAAAATAGCAAAAAATATTATCCTTTCTGAAGTAAATATGAATTAATTATTTAACTACAGGAGCCATTTGTTAGTAACAACCAACCTTGAGCATTTCCTCGGTCTCTAGTTGCCCTTTAATTTTCTCCCCACTCAGGTATTGTCCTACGATGTCGCCTAGGCCGTAATTGAGCTGGTGAAACTTCTCGTGGGTAATCTCCATGTGGACTCCGGAAGCTTGCAGAGGACACAGGACCTTTACTGTGGTCTCATCCGATCCCACTAACACAAAGGGCACCGCATTCACTCTCTGGTGCAAGACTAGCTCACTGTCTGTCCTGCAACAGGTAGAGGGAAGGAAATGAGTCAGTTTAGTCAACATTCTTTAACATTGTGATGTGTATTGTTTTTCAACATTTTTGCGGATAATTATTTTAAAAAAATCAGGTAAATACAAATCTGGTCCAGTTAATATGAATGTGGTTTCATGAGGGGACTGTTGGGACTTGGAGGAAGTAACATTCTAGTTGACAAAATACATGTATACTGCTTGCTTTAACTTAATAAATAATTATATTTTCTGATTTGCATGCATTACAAGGTTAACTGTTAAATGAAAAAAAAAGTTTTGTTACATTATTAAAGTAATGAGACCTCAGGAGGCTGCACTTGCAGTAGTGGCAGCAGGGCGGGGTATTGAGGTTCAGTTGTTCTGTATCACAAAAATTCTGAGTATCAAGTTATACTATTTGAATAATTTGAGATAGGGCCATTATTAATCCTGCACTATAAACTGAGTGGAATAAAGTCTGTATATGGAGATGTTCCCAGCATATTAAAAATATATATATCATGATAGTAAAAATACAATCATATACTCACCAAGTGCTTGAAAGACCATTCCACACCAGCCTTTGTTGTTTCAACATTATTTTCTGTAACACGCCAACAATTTCTTTTTGGAAGTGACTGGTCAGAGGCTCGCCCACTGGCTGTACGGCACCTACAAACACAAACACACATAATAGAGAATAAGAGGTGAATTAAGTGTACATCTCTTTCACTGGACAAATATGGATCAAGTCTTGTCTCTATCTGAAAAAGTGAGACCCAAATTACCTTCGATGACAGCATACTGTAGACATGCTCCTGGAATTTCCTTCAAGATGTTTTTGAGTTTCCCATCTATGGTGAAATGTGGAGCTTCCTGACAACACAAGACACACACTTTTTGTGTATGCAGGACAAAGTGCAGACAACAGGCTTCGGGTTCCTGTCACATTCAATTTTATTTCATTTCCTTCAAATTTTGGCACAGTCTACTTCTTCAGTCCTCTGAAAATAAAAATATTTTTTTTACTGCTGCAAGTAGACACAGCCTCAGCCACAAGCCTCACACTGTAATAGGTAACAACTGGCCTAGAAGATGGCTTCCTCTTTCAGAACCTACCAGAGATGTTAGCAGAGCGCTGATCTACCTAAAGAGGATTTCAAGTCTGTGAAAGCTGAACATTGTTTCCATGGTTTCACAGCTAATCCCATTGCTACCTGTGATTTAGACAGCATGAACAACAGAAAAAGTCTTAAATTGCATTAGAAATTATCCACAACTGACATCAAGTCTCTCCACAGTTTTGCGGCTCTTCCTGTACAGATAGTAGCAGATGCCTGAGAGGGTGAGACTGGCCCCGAGACACACGACCTCTGGAATCCTCACAGAATATCCATCCATTGCCTCTGGCTCTTCTGTCCCTGCCGAAGGAGCAGACCTGCACAAACAAATGACAAGTAAGAATATCAGTACATCAACTAATACAATGATTCAGATTAATTGTCAACATTAGTGCTGATTGATCGGTGGATCAGTTAATCAATCACATATTGTAGCTGTAGTCAAGTTACTAATGAAGAGAGAAATACATCCATAAAAGTGACACGTTGTCCTTTTTACACATGGATTTTACATTTATGAAACAAATAAAAGTTGATACTGGTTGTTTCTTTTCCTACTTGGACGTAAGGGGGCGGGGGCTCTGAAGTGCAAATCAGAAAACACAAACAATCGCAATCCCAGAAGACTGTGTTTCCCTGTGTTTCATTTTTTTTTGATTAATCGCTGTGTTTTTTATTTGTCGTTCTGTTTTGCACCGCAGATAATCCACAAACTGGGAACATGGCCACATACAAGTTCAAGGTTTTGCATGAAAATTACAACTGCAGTAAAAACACACACAAAACAAAGACACAAAACGAGAGGATCTGGCTGCAAACATTATCAACTTTAACTCGCCTCGTTAGAATTTGATGTTTCACCTTTGAGAGATCGGCAATCACAGCTTTAACACATTAACATCGATACAGACTCTCTGTTATCAGAACTTTCATTATCATGATCTTTAAAATCCTTGTGAGCTGCTAGCTAGCTAACGATAGTGGAGCATCACCGGCAGTGACTGTTTCTGCTGGCCGATCACGTGACCAGCAACAACACATGAATCGAGGTATATTTCCGTGTGAACGTGGAGAAGTCTGCCGAACGCACCTGTTTGTACCTGTCAGAGAAACGATGGGCTCAAGTTGACATTATCGGCCCCACGGTGTCGTCCATGTCACGTGACGTCAGACAGGAAGCAGTTAGTGTCACGTGACTACGTCTGCGCATGCGCATCGCCGCCTCCTCTCCACGTCGCTCTGCTCGCTGCGCCGCCGAACATGGCAGGAGGTGTACGGAGGAAGCCCACCGGCGCCCCGGCCCCTCTGTGGGGGAAGCTGCAGACGCTGTGGCAAGACAAGCACCTGGTCCTGTTCAAGACGGAGTACACGCTGCTGGTCGTGTCCGTCCTGTGGCTCCTGGAGATCGGCATCAACGTGTGGGTCATCCAGAAAGTGGCGTGTAAGTAGCTGCGCGGCTAGCTAGCACGCTACGGCGCTCGGTCGTTCGCCTGGACGTGTCCGAGCGCTAAGTAGCTAGCGTTAGCAAGCCCCCCCAACCCCCAACTTCCAGAGCCACCTGTCAGAGAGTTTACTGTCCTTGCATGACCACAGAGAATCGTCTGCTCTGTGCCCGTGATGGATCACATTCACCGTTAGTTTATTCACAGCAGGTTCAAGTAAGGGTTTGATCACAGTACTGTAAACTTGTTGTGGTGTGATTATTTTTCACGTAAATACAAACGATAAGATATTCCTGTATTGTTTCCACAATCTGGAAATTTTCAATATTACAGCAAGAGTCATAAATATTCATCAGTGAATAATAATAAGTAACAGGCAATACTTAAATGTTAAGACAATAAGTGTAAGGATATATATGTAAAATATAGAAAAATATGAATAGAATAAAAAATACTACTGTTGAGGCATTAGTTTGTCATTGATGTCATTGTTTATTTTGTCCACGTTGTTTTTATTTTTTTAATTTTAGGGTTAAAACAAAAGAAACCAGCAAATAATCATAGAAGCAGGCGCAACTGGATGTTTGACATTATTTGCATTAGCTGAGCCTCTCAGGTTTGATGTGCATTAACCTAAAACTGTATGGAAGGACGAATTAGCAAATAATAGCTGATTCATCATTTTCATAATGTATGTAGAAAATAGCTGACATTGTAAAATGCATTGAAAAATGAATGAATGAGTTGAGTTGGAAGTTTTTTGAGAGTTGATGACTTTTGTTACCGTTGTTTTTCAAATGTATAATTACAGGTATTTTAATAATAAGTAGGATTAACTAATAATCACATAATATCCCTAATCATTCATAATAGAGATGTACAGCTACCATATTTCCATTACCGATCATTGTTGAATGACCTTGGCTCAGATTAAACCCTTTGAAAAACATACATACAGAGAATAATACCGTAAAGCGTCTTTTATTATCTAGTTTGACCGACATAATTAAAAAGAATACAAATAAATCTAGGAAGGCACAATAATGACTTATGTCAAAGATATTGCCAATTTGCTGACATATTAGCTAGCTCTGGCTAATGCTACAGTACCTGAAATCACTTCTTCTTCACCACTTTAAAAACAGTCCCTGCCAATGGCAGCATAGCACAATTGCTCTTTTGGAGTGGTGAAGAAGAAGTGGCTCACCAACGCCTCAGCCGACACCATCAGCTGTATAGGTGGTATTTCCAATGCTGTTATCAGTATCTGAAATTCTCTGATTCATGATCACTGATCTATATTCTTGCAGACACTGAGATAGACTGGAAAGCCTACATGGATGAAGTAGAGGGCGTCATCAATGGCACCTACGACTACACTGAGCTTAAAGGAGATACGGGTCCCCTGGTGTGAGTTTCACAGGTCTTCTGTGATGTTGATGCTCCTCCTTGTAGTAAGTTGTCGTGTGTGAAGGATTCTGAGAATAATTGGCACCTTGTTGTTGCAGGTACCCGGCTGGCTTTGTCTACATGTTCACTGCTCTTTATTACATCACCAGCCACGGTGTGAACATACGTCTGGCTCAGTACATCTTTGCTGGTTTCTACCTCATCACGCTTCTGCTCGTCTTCAGGATATACCACCGCACTAAGAAGGTCCGTCCGTGGTTTTGTGACAAATTTTTCCAGCAACACACCACTAAGTTGAAGTATGATGCTACTAATGTTTATGTAGCCAGTGGGTTTTTGTGAGACTGTACTTCTGTACTTTATATTTGTTAGTTGTATAATAATGTATATTGCTTTCTTTCTCCAGGTTCCTCCCTATGTGTTCTTCTTTGTGTGTTGCGCCTCCTATAGGATCCACTCCATCTTTGTGCTGCGTCTCTTCAATGACCCAGTGGCCATGATGCTGCTGTTTGCAGCTGTCAACCTCTTCATGGATGGATACTGGACCGCGGGATGTGTCCTCTACAGGCAAGTGTGGACTCTCTTTTCTGCAGCTTCTAAAGAAATGTCTCCCTCTGTTATCCAGGAGTAATATGTACACAAATCTTTTTTGTTCTGTGTGTTACGTGATGAAATTACAACTTAATCTTTTTCTCTTTCTCTGACAGTTTAGCAGTGTCTGTGAAAATGAACGTGCTTCTTTTTGCCCCTGGGCTACTTTTCCTCCTCCTGTCTGAGTTTGGTCTAATCAGGACAATCCCCAAACTTTCTGTGTGTGCAGGAATACAGGTAAATATCCCCTATAAAAACAATAGGTACCTTATTACTTTAACTATATTGTCATGTCAAATGTCATCTGCATCATCTTTTAATTAATCTGTCTTGATTCCACAGCTTTTGCTCGGCCTCCCTTTTCTCCTGGAGAATCCCATTGGTTACTTGAGCAGGGCTTTTGATCTTGGCCGTCAGTTCATGTTTAAGTGGACGGTCAACTGGCGCTTCCTGCCTGAAACGCTCTTCCTGAATCGCTACTTTCATTTACTCCTACTCGCTGCCCACCTACTCGCCCTACTGCTCTTTGCTTTCCGCCGGTGGAAGAGGTGAGAGACTGACTTTCAGTGAGCTAAGTGAACTGTTTTATGGGCTGGAAGAAAATCTGGGGTTAAATTTGTACTACACAGGATGGCAGGCGTTTGCTCAATTTGTACAGAGGTGTATGATGGTTTTCTAGTTATGTAGAATTTATAAATCTGTATTTTCTGTCTTTAACAGGCCAGGAGAGAGCATCTTTGAACTTCTCAAGGAGCCTGGCAAGAGGAAAATCCCTCCTCAGGAGAATTCAGTGGATCATATCCTTCTGTTTCATTTGAATGTATTCCCATTTGAAGAAAATTGATCCTTGAAGGACACATTGGGATCATCGGCATCATTATTACTCAGTTAAATGTTTCTGAGTGATATTCCTGTGAGGGTACAGTCACACATACGCAAATATAGCTGTGACAAACTTTTGCCTCCCTTTCACTTCCATTCTGTGCTAGCGAGGGGGCAAATAAAAGGAAAGCAAAGGAAATTGGCAGCGTGGTTTCATGTATAGTTCAACTTTAGTGAACTTTGACCTATGACTTCACAGCCTCAACATTTGTGACCCTACTTTGCTGTAGTCAGCACATTCTCCCCCTGCCCGCTTCAACCCAGCTCTTCCTCCAGCATCTTGCTCTCTCACAACCCAAAAACCTCAAACGGACTACAGACCAAACAACTAATATCTGTGTCCGTCACATCCTGCACTGCCCACATTCTGAAAGTGATAAGTAATTTGCCTAAGGAGGCGATTATTATTCGGCTGCATTTGCGTATGTGCCCTTATTCACCAGCTTTTGTGTCAGACCTTAACAGACAAGCACAGATAGTGCTGATTCTGTTCACTTCTAACTTCATTGGCATGTGCTTCAGTCGTTCGTTGCATTACCAGTTCTATGTCTGGTACTTCCACACGTTGCCTTACTTGCTCTGGAGTGGTGGAGTCAAGAAGCTGGCCCATCTGCTCAGGTAAGAGGAAAGCTCGATGTTTACATAAATGTTTCACTTTTGACAAGATCCATAAACACTCAGCTACATGTTAATGCTTCGTCTTTTTATCCTTGTGTCTAGGGTCCTGATTCTGGGTCTGATCGAGCTTTCGTGGAACACGTACCCCTCCACCAACAGCAGCTCAGCTGCCCTCCACGTCTGCCACCTCATCATCCTCCTCTGTCTGTGGATGGCTCCACCCCTGCAGTCAGCTCCCGCAGAAACCCAACAGGACACACCTGTTAAGGACAAACGTCAGTGACCCGCAGCCAGAGCGGAGCGGACATCGTAGTAAGGTCATATGTGCTGCCGACAGCCTTCATCCCCCCTCCTCTCTCTGCCCCTCACAACACCGGTGCAGGGGGGTCACTGGGGTAGACCATTTACGCAAGAATAAAAGGAGCAATTTGATGCTTCTCATCTCAGCTCGCTGCTAAAAATTAATGAAGCAAACGTGGGTGCAGACTTAAGACAGACGCCTAACGTGAAATGGGATATAGTCGTGTCTTGCAGTTGAAGAGATGAAAAGAGAAAGAAATCATGGATTCTCAGGTTTCATTGTCAAATACATAATAAGAAGAGAGGAGTACAGTGCTAGGATAAAAATGTGAATGTATTTGTGTGTAAAAAGGATTTATTTACATATGCTATATTTCTACTTAGTAAGTTTAAAGTGCAGTCTACCTATGATTAAACAGGTCAAGTCATTATTTCTTTTTAGATGCTCTAATATTATCCAAAGTCATTTAATTGGGCACAAATAAATGAACACATTGTATTAAGAAAGCAGTATATTGAATTTATTTATTTATATCCCAGAGAACGTTTACTTAGTGTAAAAATGTATTGTATATCGGGCAGAAGCTTTTGGCATTTTCACTTTGCCACAGTAAATTCTTTATTCTCCAGTACATGGACAAAATAGTTAAGTAGTAATTTTACACACGTGTAAAACACAGCTATTTTTCTGATTTGTTGATTCTGATTCATCCACTGTTGTGTGTGTTCCAGCACAATCAGCACAAATGTAGATTTAATGTGAAAAGTTTGCAGTAGACTGAACATTTTATATTAAACAGAGATACCACTTCACCTTGATGCAGTTTTTTGTCTTCATGGTTTTGTTTCACATCACAACAAATTAACTTCCAGCCTTTTTGTATTTCCCATCAATAAGTTCATTTTTTAAAGTAATCTTTCTGTAGATAATCAAATAATCATCCTGATAATCAAATTTCCATGTGACACTCAATGATTGTGATGGTAAAGTAACAACATTATACTGACAGGAAGCTTCAACTTATACTAACAAAAGCTCACTCAGGGGATCAAGGCATTCTCGTGATTACATAAAGCTTTTTTATAACAAAAGGCCATGTGTCTGCTGTCAGGTAAAGGACAGTCATGTTGCATTAACATCACTTCTCACATCAGTAAGTCTTCCATCCATCCATGATCAATACCACTTATCCTTTGAGTTCCAGGCAGGGCTGGAGCATATCACAGCTGACATTGGGCGAGTGGTGGGGTACATCCTGGACAGGTCTCCAAGCAACTCCTGTCTGCATGTCTTTGGACTGTGGGAGGATGAAACCCACTCAAACATGGAGAGAACAGTGATTTGAATGGTCCACCTTGCCTTGAGGAACAGCTGTACCACCCAAAATCTTTCATCTGCAACTGAATATTAAATTGACCTTGGGTTATGGTATAAGCTGACCCTGCAGAGAAAACACTAGATACACTTTTCCATGTTGCATCTTTAGAGTCAGTCATTGATAAAAAGTGAGTATGCAGATTAGTAGATTTGGCTCAGTTTCCTCAGAGGTGATTGTGTCACATGTTGTTGGGGTTGTAACACAGCATGTTTAGTTTGATGTTCTCGTCCCAGTGGCGCAGCAGCAGGAACAGCTGTCTGGCAGCTCCCTTCAGGCCGGCCAGGTCCAATCCCTCAGGCAGCGTCTGACAGCGCAGCCAGAAGTCTGCTTTTGCTGCCACCAGCTCCCACTCCATGAAGTAGCCAGCACAGCGGTGCTCGAGCCAGGCAAGCGCAACAGCTGTGGCCCAGCTCGAGCCCTCCAGGTCCTCTAGGGCCAACTGGCAGCTCACCTTGAGGTCAGCTGGATCTACTGAAGAGCCTTCATACACATCTGTCTCTGATCCACGACCGCTATCAGCCTGGCCGTACCTCTGACTCTGGTAGAGGCCCTCCTCAAGGCTGGGGAGGTCAGGGTGTGAGGTGACATGGTCGCGGTCAGACAGGTGTCTCCGGCGAAGCCTTGGTTCCAGCATCAGGGGAGTGTCGTCTGGAGTGTGGTGGAAGGGAGGTACAGTTTTGGCGAAGACGCAGTAGGTAGGAGAAGAGGTAACATGGTGACTGGAGGAAGCACCCAGAGGCTTTGCAGAGGTGGATAAAGACGGAGCACTGGGAGATGTACAGCGGAAAGGTGGGCTAAGGCTGCGACGGTGGAGGCTGTATGGTGAAGCTCTTTTAAGGCGGTCCAGGGGGATCTGGACACAGTCTGAGAAGGTCTCTGTCAGCAGATAAGCTCCTGAAGCCAGCTGCAGGCGCACCTGATCAGACACCACGTGGACATAAATTACTGAATGTGTTTGCATGCTTGTGTGTATTGTATATATTGTGTGTGTCTGCACAGCTCACCAGGGGCAGGTAGTCCGGTGCTTCAGTTTCAGGCTGTGTCTCAGTCTCTGCAGACAAACAGTGAGACTTGAGAGGAACCTGCTTTCCTGATGAGATGGAGGACCTGAGTCTGCCCAGGGGGAACCTGGAACCGAAAAAAGGTGTTTCTTTTTTTTATTTAAATATATATTTGGACCTGAATAAGATATACAACCACTCAGCTACTCAGATTTAAGCTGGGTACTCCCCCTGGCCCTGACCCCGGATCTGCCCCTGGTCCAAGGGGCGAACACCACCATAAACACTTGTCAAATTCAACATTAGCAAGTTTCTCTAATATTTGTAATTTAATGTAAAAGCTTTCTTTACCTGGTCCCAAAGAAGCTTTCCATTGACTTGCTCTCTATGGATCGCTGTGAGCGAGTGCACGAGGTGCCTGATATTGCTGGGGCTGTAGCAGAGTGGCCGCTACCCCCTATACCTGAGACAGCAGCAAAGAAAAACACATTGAACAGTATTGTTTCATCAGAACAGTGATGTGTCATGGCTGGTTTTAAAGACACAGTGCACCCAAATGACAAAAATATGTCTTTTGCCGTAAACAGGAGAAATGTGGGTTTTAAAGTGGATTTTATTGTGTTCATTTGAGCAAAGGGGATTTTTTTTTTAATCATTATTATTTTATTTTTATTACATTCTTCAATGCTATGAGAACAACAAACTAAATTCTCCAGGTAGAATCCTTTAGAGTCATCAGATATCAGTATGACTAGATATGACTTAAGGTAAAGGAGAGCATATGTTGGGTTATTTTCATATTTTGGGTGAATTGCTCCTTTAAGGACTATGTCAGGGAATAGCGATGTGTCAGGGGAGAGTATGTCTTCTTTTCTTCTTCCATACAGACTCAGCTGCAGTAGAATTTTCAACCGGCTTTCTGGTAAGACGCCTCTAACCTTGGGACTAAGCTGCGCTGGAGCGGGGTTTTTTTTCACTGAGCAGGTCGACAGCAATACTTACTAGAGTCCCAGGATGTAAGGCTACATGGTGAGGCAGGAGTGTCATCTCTGTCTGAGAGATACAAAGATTGTTGATGACCTAAAGTCTTGACAACAGAAATGGGTGGTGGTATCATTCGATGTGTTTACCTGTCGAGTTCCAGTTGTCCTCCATCTCCTCACTGTCTCTACTGGTACGCCGTCGGCCCAGACCTACAGAATAGGTCTGCTGCCTGCGACTACCTGACTGCAAACTCCTGTTCCCTGAATGCATCTCTACACACACACACACACACACACANACACACACACACACACACACACACACACACACACACACACACACACACACACACACACACACACACACACACTCACTTTTTAATACAGTGATGAATTTAGGATTTTTCTTAACATTGGCCAATCAGATGTCAGTTGGGGCCATTGCCCCCTTAGTTCCGCCTCTTGATCCGCCCCTGACCTTATATGAAATCTGTGTATTATCCTTTCTTTTTTATTTTGATCAGATTGTAAGTACAGGCATTGCAAAATAGCTTATGCAATAAGTAGTATTGTATGGTGCACTATGGGTGTTCTTGAGTCTATAGAAATGAATAGTAAAGGAACACTCCAGTGATATAGTGCTGCACTTTTTGGGGGGACTCACAAAAGACAGATATATATATGGATCACCCCCCAAAGTATGTAAAATAATTGTCAAAGACAATAACTGGTGGTGCACCTGTGTTTTTGACATCCGTGCTGTCTGGTAAGCCTTTGTTGGTGTTGCTGTCAGTGGTAGAGAAGGCTGTGTACATGCAGATGATGTTACAGTGCTTGCTGGTCTGGATGGCCTTCATACGGTATCGCTTGGCTGAACCTAAGGAACCATCAAATACAACAGATATTTATTTATATGAGTTAGGAGATACATCAGGCAATAAGAGAAATGCTCAGTAAAACCTCACCATGTCCATTGTCACTCTCCTTCTCTGCCATCTTCTCAAAGTCTCTTATAACTGAACGAGCTGTCAGTTGGTGAATGATCTCCTCCCATGGTTCTTCCCCTCTTCCTTCTTCCCCTCCTTTTCCTTGTCCTCCCTCAGCTCCTCCTGGTGTCTCCTGGCCCTCTGGGGTCCAGAGGTGCCCCAGGTCAACAGTGACCTCCCAGGACACAGGCCTGCCGCCGAGCAAGCCGTGAATGAGCGAGCGGCACTGACCTGGAGGAGGATCCTCCAGCTGAACTGCAGAGAAGAGGTACTCTGGATCTGTGAAGCTGTCCCAGTCCAAAGGAGAGGCGGGGAACAGGAGTCCATCTGAGGGTCAGAGTGACAGAGAGGAATATAAATTTGATGAAGGAACAATATGAAGCATAATCCTGTTTTTTTTTAGTAGCGTCTTACTAGAGTCAGTGAGGCTTCTGCGGGACAGTGTCCCTCCTGATGGGGGCTTTGTCTCCCCGTCACTTTCGTCCAGCCTCCCTCCCAGTGTCTGGTCGAAGGAGACCCTCTCCAGAGCTCTCCTCAGGCGATGCATCTCCAACTCGCCTTGGGGGGACGAGAAACTTCGTGCTGCCATGGTTGAACGGGCCAAAGCTTTTTGTCTCCTACCGGGTTCTTCACCTCCATCCAGGCGCACGCTCTGGTTGTACGACAGGGAAAGTGATGCAAGTACAAAAAGTAGAGCAGAGTTTCTCTACAGCAACACATGTTGATGTTAGGGTTATCTGTTGGAACTGTTTCTATTTTTGATATGTTGAAATGTTTTGAGTTATCAAATCCTGCAATGGAGAAAACATTTCTATTGATCTAGTCGACTCATAGATGACAATATTTTGTAATCAAACTATTTTATAGTGCTGGTGTCGATATCTTAGCATAAGTTGCATGACTAGAAGTTCTTTTGGGTGAATCTGTTACAATAAATCTCACCTTTTTTGCTTCATTATCAGGAGTTTCAGCCGAGAGGTTCTGTTGCCATGCAGCGTCAGCCCACCGAGACAAGGAAGATCTCTTATCTGGAGGCGGGATTCTCTCAAGGCCTTGGGGTAAAGACCCTGTGTCCAACACGGAATCAGAGGACTGAGGGTCGGGCAAAAACGTCCCCGCTGCTGAGTGGGACTGTGTCTGTAGACTCCGCTCACTGCTGAGGGAGCAGCGGGTGAGGACGTACTGCTCCTGGATGTAAGCGCTCTCCTGGATCCTCCTCCTCACATCACTGGACCAGTTGAGCTCCCCACCTGGCATGGAGAAAGGCCAGTTGTTAACCACGTGGACAGAAAGTGACCAGTAGGCAAATGGATGCTCCACGGATGTATGACTGACCTGGGCTGGTGCCAGGGTCTGTGTCTCTGGCACAGGAGAACTCGGAGGAAATTTCTCTGGAGATCTCCTTCAGTGCGTCCTCCAGGTCGGTTCCATCTGCACATGTCACTACAGGCATTAGTTCAGAGGCCGGGGGAGGTGAAAGCTCATCATTGGACTGACCAAAAACTGAACCAGTGGAGCCTCTGTGCACATTTTTGTAGCCCCGTCCTTGAGTCTGTAAAACACTTAAATTAGAAATGCACATAGACATAAACAAACTTTAAAAATGCATATTGATGTATACCTCTGTCTTCTTTGATATGAAACGTGTCATATCATACAATGTGCAATATCCAATGAGGCGATTCCCTGTGTAGAGTGGAGGAATTTCATTGGGTGAAAGAAGGGCCTCCATGTTTTCTGGCAGGTACCAGTCAATCCGAACGTCAGTGAGCACAGGTTCAAAGGCCTTTTTCAGAGACTTGATAAACTGAGGAGGGAAATTTGAAACATTAGTCTTTTTTACCCGAACACTTGAAAGTTGCAACTATGAAGGAAATATTCAGGTTCTTTTATTAAGTAAATTAGCAATTTATTAATGTAAAATTACCCCAATCAAATTTAATCAAAAATAGCAAAAAGTACTCAGTATACTCTGTAGGTGGAGCTATAGTTACTATTTTATACAGTTAAGTAATTCAGCATTTAAGGGTCATGGCCTAAGGGTTTGGCCCCCTACAAAAGGTCCCATCATAAATCTGAAAAAAATTGTTCCTTTGTTGGGTACGGTTATGCCAATAATTGTTATGCATTTCACATTTTCTCCAGTAGGTGACAGTCTTGCAGCACTGCTGACCTTGGGCTGGAGTCTCTCCTCATCATCCAAGAACTCTGTGGTGCCTCCTGTTAATTTGGCGACGCCCTGCAGGAGTCGCCTGCAGGCTCGAGGACCCAGGCCCAGACTGAAGCATCTGCAGAGAGTTGATATAAAACATATACTTCAAATTTTCAATCACACACCCTGTGGCTGCACTATAGATGAAGCATGTCTTTCTCTCACTTGGATTCCTGGGATTGGAACTCAGACCCTAACCCTAGCGGCACACAGAGGCTTCCACATGTCTCAGCATGGAGAACATTCAGGTGTGTTCACACTGTTGTTGGGGCTCTTACAGAAATCACAAGCCATTTGGCTGATTGAGAGTTTGAATGAAGCAGACATTGTGTGTGAAAACCAAAATAACACAACACAAAGAGCACTGCAGAGCTGTAGACTGTAGTTAGATGGCAGCATAATTTGCATTCCCTGAAATGAGATGCATTACAAGAGAATAGTGTGGTTCCATGGATTATGCTGGACAGCCAAAATTCAGTGGAGAAAGTCAGTCGTACAAGAGAATACTAATGAAGGATAAATAGAGTTACTGTGCAGTGCTGGAGGGCCTGGGGGAAACCAGAGGGGCGTGACTCTCACTGCAGAGGAGAGCACTTAACGGGATTACTGGGCGTGGCTGAAAAATACCTCAGCCCCTTCTTTTCTTTTCTTTACAGCGCTTTGCTCTCAATTTTTCAAGATCACTGTTTGCTCATATCCCTCTACCCTCCCTCTCTCTGTCTCCATCCTCTTTCTTCTCCTCCCCCACATTGTGTCTCTGTCATATGCATCAGTCCATTCTGCCTGCACTCAGTGGAATCCATTCCTCTCTGCTTCCCTGTCACCCTCAGTGATTTAATGTCTGATTACATGGCAGCCATAGAATAAATCTGTGCTAACTAGTTGTTTGAGTAAATGTCCATCATGTGTGTTGATGACATCCTCCTACAACCTCTCCCTCCTGTTTTGAACAGATGATTTCCATGTTTGAAACAGACAGTTTAGTTTCAGGACTTCGTACCTGCCAGCACACGTGTTTCTGCGGACCAGCTCCAGCACTTTGGCCACATTACCAATGGACCCATCCGTAATGATGAAGACCTGGCGAGGATAGGAGCGCTGCATGGGCTGCTGGTACACCCAGGACAGTGCCCCCAGGAGGTTGGTGCCTCGCATGTCAGCTCTCATCCTTTGGACATATTCATATGCCTGCATGAGAGTGACCTGTGTGCAACGAGGAAAGCAGAGATGCAATCAGAGCTACGGTGACGGGAGAGTAGCTCGTCGGAAAGAACACCTGTCCAACTGCATGATGCTGCCTGTGCAAACATCACCTGTGTTGTTCAAGATAAATTCACTGTTTGATATCAGATGCCTCAATTACCCTGTGTGGGGAGCAAAGAATTTAATCAGCGCTCCTCTAATAAAGCGAGAGCAAACACACACACATTAGCACCTGCCTTAAAACTGCAGCAAATCACACTGTGGACAAACACGGCTGACAGGAGAGGAGATGGAGGGACATCTCCTGCCTCCGTTAAAGTGCATGAAAGGTCACCATATGGTGAGGAGTATGTGCAAAGACTGTTTGTTCTCGTGGCCCCTGGTCTGGATAAAACCTGATACTCTGCTACTAAGGCAACCCAAAGAACTGACCTATCGCCTGATTAGAGCGCGGACAAAATAGAACACATGGTTGAACAACACGGTTGAAAAACATCTGCTTTCACGCAACATGAGCCAAATGCCCCATGTATTATCTTTTCCTGGAAACACCGCGATTCACGTGGAAATGTTGCAACACTAGTTGCAACATTTCCACGTGAATGGGCACTGGGGTCTGCATCTGCCCTCGCGGTGTTTAACATACAGGTTTATTTTAGTGAGTATCCTCTAAAGGAGACAGTTTCAGATTAATCTCCATGGTGAGCTACAGGTGATGGTGTGACGCTAACATCAGTGCAGAGCTTGCTGGAGGTGAACAGAGGCTTGATGGTGGTGCCAAAGCCCACGATGTTGAGCATGGTGCCAGAGGGGAGACTCTTCAGTGCCACCACCATGGCTTCCTGTGGAAACAAGAAGGAATAATCAATCCGTGCACCTAAATCTAAAAATTGACTTTGCTTAATTAAATTTATTTATACTTTTGAGAGGGACAGTGCTTGTTAATCAGACAAAATACCATAAATAAGAGAGCGTTATAGCGATATAAGCTCATTTTCATTTTATTGTTCCTCTACAGTTTTTACAAGGCATCTAAAAATAATAAACTTATTACCTATTTTATCTAACTACAAATACCTATGGATATTTCATGTGGATGATACATACCATCCACACAAACTATTAAAATGTAAAACACTACTATAAGGGACACAAAAAATGTAAACATGTAAACAAGCAAATAAATAAATCAATGCTGGAATCATTATTTAATACATAAATAAATACAGTTTGACATGAAATCTATGTATTTCTAAAGTTATCTATACAGAACTAAATAAATAAATAGATGTAGAAATTAATGAATGAATAGATAACTAAATGCAGAAGTTAAAGAAGAGTAAATGTAGACATGAATGAATAAATCAAAAATACAGAAAATGCAGAATTTCTTTTCAGTTTTTTCATTTATTTATGTATTTAACCTTTCATTTCTCAGTTTATTTATTTACTTACTAATTTATTAACTTATTCATTCATACTTCTGTCATTTTGTCCTTCATACACTACAGCCAATAATAAGAAAAAATATAACCCATTATTAAAATACATCATACTAATGTAAACTGAACCACCTCAGATAAAGTGGATGAATTACATATGATTACAAGTTGGATTTGCTTCAAGTCTTAATTTTGTATTTAAAGGTTAAATAGTTTTAATAATTTAAATTGTAATAACCTGTTTCTTAAATCAACAGGTAAACTAAATAGTTAGTGGCTCTGACAGTCCCCTCTGGTGATTGCCCTTGTTGCCCCACCACTGCTGGCCCGCTGCACTACAATCTGACTCTGGTTTCTTTGTGTGTTTTTGTCCTGGCTGCAGCTCACCTTAACACGATGGATGTTGGTGCCACTCATGCTGCCGCTGCGGTCCACGAGGAACAGCAGCTCTCTGGTGGCCTTGTGCAGCTCCAGAGGTTCACGCAGCAAGTCAGGACAGAAGTTGAGCATTAGGACGGGGCTGCTCAGAATGTCCTTGTGGTGCCGCTTCCTCACAAACTCCAGCTGTAAGTGGAGCACAAGCTTTTAGCACACAGGACACATAAATGTGTGAGATGTGAGAAAACAAATAGGGAGAGGATGCAGTGACCTTCCTCTCAAGCTCTGAATCTTTGCGGGTGCAGCGGATGAAATCTCGACGGGAGCTGATCTGCTGCTCGTACTGGCTGAAGGACAGTCTGCCTCTCTCTAAGATGACCAGTGGGCTGTGAGGTTCTGTGGAAGTGTTTCAGAGTAAAATATTAATTCTAAATACTGAACAGAAACTGAGCCAAAGAGAAAGCACAGTCATGTTAGTGGATAAGTTGCCTTTGCTCACCACTGAGGTGCAGAATGATCTCTATGTGTCTGTCGTACGGATGCTCCTGGGCCAAAGTGATGTAGGTGGCAGAGGCACTTTGGGCGCTGGGGTCTGCATCTGCCCTCAGAGCATGAGTGGGGCTCTCCAGCCCTGCAAATCAGTTTAAGAAAAAAACAAGAAAAGCAAATTAATACATGCTTTGATTTGTTTTTCAATAGTCAATGATTATTTTCTCATTTCAAATAATTTAACAACATTGTGAAGAATTTTTACATTTCTGCCGATTTCCCAGGGAATCATTGATTGATTTTGATTTTTAAAAAACATGTAGGGAACTGATATTTATGAATGTGCACAATTTGGGGCAGCTTGATAGAATTCCACGAGACTGATGGGCCTTGGCGAAGTAATGCGATCTACTCTACATTTCTCAATGGCTGGGCCGAAGTCCACTGAATCAATCTTATTTGAGAAGACAGGCAGTGTACCGGCCAGCAGGCAGGCCCCTCTGACAAGCAGCTGGAAGTTGAGCTCATAAGGTGCCAGGTTGGCAGCTGGACTGGTGAAGATGGTGTGGGCACACTGCTGCTCGGCATCCAGCACCCGGTCCTGTTTTCCTGAGGTGGCACCAAAACAGCTGGTTGCTCTAGAAGAACAGTGATGTAGATAATTTAGTATAAAAATATACAGCAGTCAGTCTATATTACATATAATTTATTAAAATAGAAAGTGTCGGACAGAGTAGTGGTGCCACATGTAGTGCTGACATAAATACCCAGTTTCTTCTAATTTCCCCCCACTTTCACTCTTGCTTTGGGGCATCTGGCCGGTGACGATTGGCGTCAGTAATGACGGGTAGACGATGCGGATTGCTCCATTTTCTAACGTGGGGAGTTCGAGTGTGGTGCTTATGATAATGGACACTATATCCATGGGGCCGATTACCCCTGTGCCCACGATGAAGGTGGTTCTCTCAAGGTCTTCGTCCAGGATGAGATGCCCTAAAAATATGCACCCGGTTACTTAGATGAAAAAACAACTGAATCAGACAGAGATGCAGGTGGACTATTGTCGTGAAAAGTCAACATACAAAATCTGCAAACGCATTCAATGTACATGATTCCACTGTTTCCACTAAAATTCTATGCACATCAAGCTGATTTATGTTCGTACTATAAGTGAACACATTTCATCTTTAGGCAGGAGGCCAAAGCTTTTGGCCTCCCTTGTCTGTCCTTTCTACCGTCAGTGAGGCAAACTCAGGACAGAGCTGGGACTCACAGTAGCTACACTGAAAAAAGATTTATTATTAACTTTAAAAAAACACTTCAATTGATTAAAAAACTTTTTTTTGAATAAAAGTTATTATGTTAATTATAACATTAATTATGTTAAATTGTTAGTTGTAAGATGAACAAATGTAATTAATTGAAAGGTTAACAATAGAAGTTATTTTCCAAGGTGGTGCAACAATTAAATTTTTTCCAGTGTGTATGATGTACGTGCTCTGACCCTCGTTACAGTGGTTAAAAACAGTGCACAGTGGTTTAAATTATTTGTGGTTCAACAATATGCTACTTTTTACTACAAACAACATACAATTCTCTCCAGCTTTGATTTTCTGCCATGAAACCTAAGTTGATCACTTATTACTGACTTTTCAAGAACATATAGTATATTTAAAGTACATAAAAGTCTATGCATTCATCCACTCAGATATTCCTCATCAAGTCTGGGTTCTGTAAAGTTCAAGTGTCTGGAGAACCGAGAACCAGTGACTAATGTCTGCTCGCAGTATCCATAAATAAATTAGCTGCTCAATAACTGCTAGCTGAGGAAAATAGGCAGCCCAGAAATGTCAATGTTCAAAATGAATGTGTGTTTAATTTCTTAATTGTTGAAGCTTATGGAATCATATTAGATGAATAGACAGCCACCTCATTAAACAATTTGCTCTCCCTACACTGGATTCCTCCGTCCTCCCTCCTCACCGTTGGTGCAATGAATGTCGTGGCTGGAGCTGCCACAGCAGCCCCACTCCCGGCCATTCCCACAGTGGCCCTCAAAACCAGACGAAGGGCAGCAATCCAGACAGCAGTCCTTCAGCTTCCCTCGGTTCTGTATCTGGACGCCCACCAGTCGACCCGCAATGGAAGCCTCAAAGTCCACCACAACCTCCCTCTCCCCGAGAGGGTACACGAACACACCTACATGTACAAGACCAATAATGTTTGACACACAAAACAAATATTTCAGATTCATGCCTCACTTAAGAAACCGATGAAACTACATGACTGCATATTTAAAAGTTCACTAGATTCTAAAAGTCTATTCTGACTTTCTTGAATGTTTTAATTGTAATTGCTTCAGACAGAAGCCTTCACCAAATGTTTTAAATATAATTCCTAACATGCCAGCATAGCCTATAGTCTATTTATTTTGGTAGTTACTAATTTCCTAAGTTTTACTCAAATTACTGGTGATTTTTCATTCAATAGGGAACTGTGGGATGACCCACTCTACCCCCTGAGCCACAGCCACCCAATACAATCTATGTCGAAATACAGTTGCTGAGGTTATTACCTGTTCCAAGAGGGAATCACCCCTCTACTCACCTTCTACAGACTCTACATCAGCGTTGGCATAAGTAAGGTTTGCGGTGATGCCCAGGGAGCAGCCGTTGGCGCAGGACTTGATGCAGGAGGCCTTGAGCAGCAGTGGTTCCCATGTAGAGCGGTTTCTCAGCCCCACCATCTTTTCAGGGTGACAGACAAGCCTCTACTGTGATGGCTGCATGAGAACACAGGTACACAGACCAGTGACAGGAACAGAAATGTGTGAGTGTGCATTTCAATTCTCTCATTTTACATTCAGTGGACAATCGCAACGATCTCTGTAAAGAACCAAAGAATCAAAACTGATCAAATTAGATTTTGGTGCATAGCATGAAAATAATTCTAAATGTCCATAAGATTTTCATTTCTCTGCATATATACCTCCTGGATTTATGCTTGCATGTACACATCAGCCCTTGGACATGTAACCTAAGCTATCTCTTTAGGCTCTTAGCAACCAGCTGTGGTAGTTTGAGTGTTCAAGGCCTGGTCAATCATTAACATTACAGGTCAGCACTCACTTCACGATGCAGCGTGCTTAACATATGCAATCAGAGACTTTATGCAATTATGTGAATTTAGGATTACTGTCTTACTCCTATTTACCTGCACCCTTTTCTAACTGAGTGAGCTGGATGCTAAGAAGCAATACTCAGTGAATTCTAAACTAGGAAAACATAAACTTATTAACAAACTAATCACAGTTTCCTTAAGAGGAAATAAACAGTAGCTCAAGCTGTTCGATGCAACAATTCTTAATGATTTGATAACTTTAAGTGCAGCAGGTGTAAAGATCACGCCTTAGACTGCATAAAAGTGTGTGTGTGTTTGTGTAAACATGCATGTGGGCATTTGTGTGCATGTCTGCATGTGTTTGCTGTGATCCAGGTAATAGTCCTTTCACATCTACCTCTCTAACAAGATCAACAGCCTCCATCTGGTTCCCCACTCCCGACTCATAAGAGGCAAATAAATACCTGGTTTGTAAAAGTCAAGCAAACTGATGCTGTCAGAAAACACACAAGAACCAGAAGACGTATGACAGGCAATAAGATGCATGTTACATATGAGTTAGTAGTGTGTGTACATGTGTGTGTGACATACACAACATATGCACATGCTGACCTTGGAAAGTTCAGCCTGAAACACAATGACAAAGATCTTCCAGCTGTCATTAATGGTTTAAAGCATTAAAACTAAAGTCTTATAAAGTGAAGATGCTGCCTCTGCGTGGTTTAATTATTTTGTCTGGCTCTTTGCAGTACCAGCCAACACTGCAGCCTCCAGGTACAAGCTCCAGATAATAAGCAAAAATGATCGTCCACTTACTGTACTGTTCAGTGCAGCATCTGATGATTTGCCTCTGTGTCCAGTCCCCGCATCACTCCACCATCACATCTACTCACAGGTTTCCCAGTGACACTAACGGTAGGAGTTTTCCTGCAAATGTTGCTCTCTCTCTCCAGCAGTCGCCCTATAAAGAAGACATTAATAATCAGAGTTAAATAAATGGACCCTACTCATGGAGTATGAAACTATATCCAGGATGAAAATCAGATGCTTGCACTAACAGATTATTTATTAAGACACCCAGCAATTATCTAGAAATTCATTTTCAGCATCAGGCTATTAGTTTGTAGGAAATGAAAACGTCCTGGCAACGATAAATCACCATCATGCAGCTCTGCGCTAACCTACATTTGCTGTTAAGTGAAATGTCATCTGCTTACCTGCTCTGACCTGAACCACAGAGCTGATCACAAACTGTGGTCCTCAACCTGCTGCTCAGGCTGCAGCACACATTGGTAAGTGAGGCAGAGTCTGCTTTTCATCCAGACAATTGGCTGTGATGGTAGCAGCACCATAATTCATGGCTAATGGCTTGGCCACAGAGAGGAGGAGGAGGAGGAGGAGGAGGAGGAGGAGGACTGGTGCTCTGCCTCTCCCAACAGGTCGCTCAGACAGCAGGCGTGGGGAGGTGAGAGGAAAGAAGCAGAGGCTTTTCATCTTCTTCTGCCCCACACTTACAAATAGTGAGAAGGGAGTGGCAAGAAAGATTTGGCTCATTATTTTGCTGTGTTACTTTCTATTAATTAAAAAATCTAATTCATTAATATTTTGCTTCAAGCCTTTTGCTTTTTATGTTTTCACTGTATCTGATCTGTATATTATAGACTAGTTTTTGAAAAATAATTTAAGAAAAAGTAAATTATATTAATTGTATTGAATTGTTTTCACTGATTACTGATGATTTACTATTTTAATTTGAGAATGAATTAGTTGTCTGGTGTTGCTGTTGTCTTGTAAATATTAGATTAAGGTTGAAAAATCCATGAAATAGGTAATTAATTATTATTATGTCTTTTTCCTGCATTTGTTATATGAGGAATGATGTAAATTTCTATTGCTTTGAATTTAGTAAGTGCCATTTGGCTTTCATTTGGTGACACAGATAAAGCGTTAGCAGTGACACTGACAAATAATTATAAAAAATGCACTTTTAAATGATAAAATTATAACTCACAAAAGTTTCTGTAGCAACCAAGGACACAAGATTATTATTTTTATTCCGTGTGTGTGTGTGTGTGTGTTTGTGTGTGTGTGTGTGTGTGTGCGTGCGTGTGTGTTGACAGAGAGAGATGAAAGGGGGCAAGAGAAGTCAGAATGGTGACAACCCTCTTTTGATATACCAGCTCTGCAGCACTCTACAGTTCGGTTTGATACTGAGTGCTGTTGTGCTGTTGAGACTTGAAATTTTATTGTATCATGTGTTGTATCATATTCTTCACATCACACATCTCTAACCTGTCCCATAAAAGGCATCTGGTAAACACATACAATTGCCAAACTACTGCTTTTTTTAATTGGGTACAACAACCATATTACAAAAATCCTGTGTGTGTGTGTGTGTGTCTGAGAGAGAGAGAGAGAGAGTTTAGTCAATGCTTATTAGTGTCCCATGCTGCCTCCATGTGGCCTCCTGTCTTTGGTTTGGTCTCTTTTCAAGTCAAGTCACATCAGTCATTCACTTTCATCGCCTTTTTAAATAATGTCCTAGTGGTGACAGTTTCAGGAAGTTTTAAATTGTAGATTGGATTGATATTTTGGCCCGCTTCGAAAAGACCTGTGACATATTTCTCATTGTGGGAAATGTTGTGTTTATTATCAATTTTAAGGTCTTTACCTTAATATGTTGTGACTTGGTGATTAAATAGAACTGAATTGAATACCTTTTATTCAGTTCATTCATTTTTGCGATGGATTTTGTGAAGCACTTTGTGACCTTGTTTAGATGAGTGCTATACAAATATTTTAGAATATAGGACAAGATGGTGAATATCCCTTGTACGTTTGAAGGTCTTCTGCACAAGTTACCAACTACCATTACACGTCAGCAGGTGTTAGCGGGTTATTATATTAGCTACAGAGCAATTAAAAGTGGTTAATATCACATTACATTTAACTTGTCTACAGTTTCAGTTTATTCTGCTGACACTGAACAATACAAAGAACAAATTAAGGCTTCAGTGATCATATAGAAATCCTGTTTTCTACTGAAGGTCCCTGTTTTCAGAAGATATCAATTCTCTAGTAGACAAACCTGCAGTTCTACTAAAAGAAGTTTCATTACTGTGACACTAGATGTCAGCCTTCTCCTGTCAGCTGCAGCATATTCATTACAGACCGGAGTCACTCTGTGATCTTTCTTCTTGTTCTCCCTCCTCAGCTGCCTGCTGGTCTAAACAGGAGCTATATACTATATTCAAACAATACCTTGGTCAAAACCAAAAGTCTTAGATTGATTAAAATCTACAGTCAGACCAGAGTTACAACTACTTTCTTGGCCAGTTTTTCTATAAAGGTTAAGTTACACATTATGTCATATATTTTCTACAGTCTAATTCCAGCGGCATAAAGAAAGAGTGGTTGGCACTCTCACCTAACAGGTTCCCAGTTTAAATCTGGGTCCTTCCTGTGACGAGGTTGCACCCCTTCCCCTTGTCTGCGTGGGTTTTCTTTTTCTCTTACAAACAAATTCTCCTCTATCTTCAGCTAATCCCACACTCTGGTGCGTATTTAGCGATGGAAAGACTGATCAAGGAGGGCACGTTTATGCTAATGGCAGCCTGATATGTTGAAGCAACACATGCCGTTGTAGCAAGGGCATCGCTTCAGAGGGAATCCACAAGGTCACATAATAATGAACACATGCAGTGTTAGAATTTAGATAACATATACACAGTTTTATGTCGCAATCCACTAGTGTACTTGTTGCTCTATAAAATCTGCATTGTTTATAATAGTGCTCTATTTCATAGTAACAATTGTGTATTCTGTTTCTGTTCTGTGGCTTCAGGGTGAGGCTGTGTTTATACCAGCAAATAGACAGAGTCAACATTGTCGACTGAAAAGTACCACAGCACTGAGAGACATTTACAGACTGTCCTCCTTCCTTGCAGGTGAGGGACATCCATGAGCAGATGTAGACTAGTTCTATTGAATCTATTGCTGGCTACTCAAAAAAGACAGCTACACCAACTTCAGACAAACAACCATCCTTGTACCATCACATCATCATTTACATGCTCAGACGCCCCACCCCATCTGGGCCTTTGCTTTTAGTTCATAACAAACACTGATACAAATTTGAATTTGCTTTAGCTTTAAAATAATACCTCTCTACATATACATTTGCATGGTTTTGCATCACACTTCACGCTTGAGAGAATTATACCAACTGCCTCTATCTAATAAACACATGTCATTTTATTTCTAAACAAAGGGCCTGTGTGGTTTCATTATCACCAAGAGAAAATATCTGTGTTTCCTCATCAGCCTAATCCACCATATCATTATTACCACTCTATTTAGGTAGAATGAATATTTCATTATTGAACAGTTGGTGATTAATGTGCATTAGATGGCAGTTAATGTGACTGTTGAGGTCATAATAGATCTAATTAACAACATGTCTAACAATGACCCAATACAGGCCTGCATGTGCAGATGAGCTGCTTCTGCTTGACTATTGTCGGGGGGTTCAAGTGTCTGTCTGTGCTGAAATGTTGGGAACCTCTTCTCCCTTGCGTACCCCACTGACCTAGATTTCAATTGTTTTCTGCCTGAGACAATGGGAGAAATGGTTTCATAACTGAACACAATACCTGGGTGTTGTTCAACATGATTGTTGTTCAGGTTCTCATTGTGGTGTGATTTTGTGCTGAGCATTGTGGGTTTTCTTTATGTAACCTGCTGGAGCAGCCTGCCGGTGACGGGCCAGCAAAGCCCACACTAAATTACTTGTAGACGCTTCAACAGATGATTGTGCATTCACATGAGTTTCTGCAGTCCGGCTCATCCAATCGCTGCTGTTTCAAACACATCACATGTCTCACATGGGCTCTGAGGAATGATACCAACCTTTCTTATGTAAAACCTAATGATCTAACGTAATTTGATACAACAGTTTTAACCAGTAAAGTGACAAATAATACTGAAAATCAAGGACCAACTCACAGACAGTTTGGTAACTAATATTTATCTGTAACCTAAAAACAAAAAGAAAACATCAACTTTGGTATGAGCTTCTCATCCGTCACTGACTATTTAAAGTCGTCCCATCCTCTGGGAAAGTTGTCACTGTAATGATAGTCTGTGCAGTATGCTTTAACAACAAAAGTCTTTATTTTAACACTCTTCAAGCTATTGTAATTATGTTGCATAAACTTTAGGTGTCTGTCAAAGCTGCATCACAGGACAGAGGACTTATAATAATATTCAGTTTAGTCAACAAAATGCATTAAAAAACATGATCACAATGAAAATAAAGTGAATAAGAAAATATAAAATGGGACGAAGGACAAGGGAAAGAAATCTTGTAATTATTAAATTGAATAGAGAGAAAATAAGAGATTTTAATCTTGATTGATGTCTTTTTATACTTAAATCTTTTTATACCCACAAAATACTGACAAAAGTGCTCATAAACATGTCTTAGCTCACTTACTGATTGTTTTTTAAATTTGGTTTAGTTTCATACGCCACAAACCTACACCAACATTGAAAAGTGTGTATAATCTTTTAATTTACCACGATTAAAAACTGTCACCATTGGAAAAAATAATAGATAAGGCAGAACATCAGTGGTCGTGGGGAGAGACGGGCCCGGCAGAGCAGAAAAGAGAAGCGCAGCGCTTGGTGGATGGATGAAGGAAGAGCGAGCAGAAGGCAAATTAATCAAAGGACATCAAAGGGAACATGGATGGAGGGAGGGAAGGAATGAAAGAGTGCCGCCCGTTTGTCCCATGCCGTTCCCACTCCGCTCTGCCTGAGTCTGCTCCCAGATCTCAGGGGCCATTGTGCCTGCACGGGTGCATGGAGGGGGCTGGGGGCACCATGCACATAACAAGACATATACACACTAACAAACGTCTGAAAGCACAGGCTCCTCTTGCTTTCCTCTCTAACTCTGACTCCTCGTGGTCTTTACTCTGTCCCCAAGGCCTGTTTTTGTGTCTTCCCTTGCATACACGTTTAATTGCGTGAAGTCTTTCACCAGACTTGGCTGCACAAACCTTTTTGCTGAAACATAAACACACGGTCAAACACGTACTGTATGTTGTTGTCAGTGTGAATGCTGCTGTCAGCACTGGCTTGTGGCAGCACTGGACGGCACTCTTTGATAATGCCCTGCTAGATTCGGCCCGCCGCTCTTTTTATCGTTCAGCCAGTGAGTTGGCTCAAAGTTGACTCCAATTTGTGCTCCTCCTTTGGGTTCGGCACAGACTTTGTTTCTGTGTCCGTGTAGGCTGGGACCATGCCCCTGTCTGTTGCTGCTGAACATACAGAACATTTTGTTTAATGATACAGTCAGGACATCTCTACTGTCCAGTGCTGTAAAGAAGGTTTATATACATTACATAGATTATTGTGCATGCACATATATTGTGTAAAGAGCTGGTTTGCAGCGATTTTACAAAATCTACTTTTACTTTGTTCCTCCTGGTTAACCAATCAAGGACCTATTTCTATAGTTAATATTCAGAAAACACAGTTTGACTCATAGTCAAATTAACAATCTTTACAAGGTGCAGCATCCTCTGCCCTTCACTCTCGCAGAGTGAACAAAGCCTCCCAAAAACCCCTTTAACAGGGATTTAAAAAAAAACTGAGAAACCAAAGGGAGGGCATCTTAAGTGAGTGAGCCCTCTCCCAAGACAGACAGCAGTGCAATAGATGTTGCATGTAACAGAGAACAAGTTCTGTTTTTTGTCAGTATTCAAGTTTTATGTAGATTGATTAAAGTAGGTTTCGTGCATAATGTTTTACACATCAGTTTTTATATTCTTTTTGAAGCTGTAGCTCCCATATTGTTATTGTTTGAACTGTAGATCTTAAAAATAACTAGTTGCAGAAATTTTTCTTAAAATTCCTCGGATTTAAAGACAAAGATTTGCTCATAATTTATCAGAGCTTTGCTCCTTTGGCAGTTTCATCTTTTTTTAATTTTTTAACATTAAGTGTGTGTGTATACATTTGTACTGTAAATCATCTAGGTAACGGGCATCTCAGTAAGAAAAAGACCCAACTTTTTTGTCTTTGTTTTACTCTTGTTTGTCCAACAAGTTGACATTAATTGCACTAAAACACTAGAAGTTTTCACTTTTTTCCGTAAATAATTTCTTCTGGACTTGGAAAAATACATCATATTCACAAACACTCTTTTAATGTATCTTTATGTAACAAAAGCAGAGTTCAGCAGAGAAAGACAAAAGTGATGTGAACTGACAATATTTTAATGGGGGGGATAAAAGACTGTAAGTGATCAATGGAGGCGGCGGCCAAGTGATGCCCGGGGAACGGCTTTGATGTGGGCATCCTCAGAGGGATGCCGGGGACAATGCGCTCTTTGAGGGGCATGCAGAATGGCAGACACTTCCCTCTCCCTCTGTCCCGCTCTCTCACACTCTGTCACTCAGCCTCCCTCCATCTCCACGCTCGCACCAATCACGCTCAGACCCTCTGGTTTTCGGATGCACGTTGACATCTCTCCCTCTCTGTACATTCCTCTGCTGCAGTGTCACATCAGCCCATATCCTTATCTGCATAACTTTCTCCCTCTGTCTTTCACATTAATTAATTCAAACAACACCCCCTTCCCTGCTGCCCAGCCAATCACTCCGCCTCCCCCTCCCCAATCTGTATCTCTCTCTCTCTCCCTCCCTCTGTCTCTTTTCATAGAACCAAACCTCTTTGTGATGTCCAGCCTTGGCAAGTTGCGCCCGATTTGCTGTCACAGTCTTAATGAATTCATCTGTTTGTGTATTGGCCATGGGAGCATCTCTCCCTCCTCCCTCCCTCTCGCTCTCTCTCGTCCCTATCCTCTCCCCCCTCCCCCTTGCTGGTGTTCCCCTGGGGACTCTATATATACCAGGGACCACTCCAGGCACCTATTGTTCCTCTAAGTAAACTTACAGACAGATGCCCTGCACCACAGTGTGGGAGAGAGCCCAGAGAGTCAGGAGGAGGGAGACAGTTGAAGATTGCAGAGAGCCACCGGACACTAAGGACCTGGGAGCTGAGCCTCATCTCATCTCCAGCACCTCAGCATCCTCTCCAGCCGTCCCTCCTGCTTCCTGCGTGTCTGCTTGTTATCACTGTCTCGAGTGGAGGTCTGATGCTGAGACACCATGCTGCTGCTGATATCACTGCTGTTCATGGGGCTGGGTTGCTTGCTGGGGGCGCCAACAGGTAGAGAGGTCTACAGGATGCCCCAGAGTGCACTCAAAGGTACATTTCTCCAAACTTGCTGTATTTTTTCTCCTTGAATCTCTGATGAGAGAACCTAACAGAGATTAGAGTCAGGATATCTGAGTTTAGCATGTGAGTTTTGCAGACAACCTCGGAGGTGGATCTAACTTACAACCCTGCAAAATAACCCTGGTGATGGGATGAAGAATTCATTTCTGTAGGACTTCAAACATTTTAGTGATCCTATTAGTTTAAACTTGCATGTGTCACACATGTGCATGTGAACATTGAACCTTTGAGTTGTGTTAAAGCTTTACTTGCTAATTTACGTCTGGATAAATATCCACTCAAGTGTTTAAGTGAATAGCAGCTGTGTTCATAATTTAAAACCTGTATGTTTCTTTTCTCCTTTAGTTTTCAGTGTTGGTAATTTTTGAGCTTTCTAGAACAGAGTTGTAAGAATATTACTTCAGATTTAACTTGTCTATTGCTGCAGTGATGAAGGACCTCTGGTCTTCTCTGGTAGAAGGGCTGAGTACAGCAGAACCTTCATTCAAGCAGCTGGTGGTGGCGGTGTGTGTTTAGAGTGTTTAGAACAAGGGACTCTGGGTCCTAGTTGCCTCGGGGCTGCCAGCCCGTGCCCCTGGGGTCTGTCCCTGCCCAGCAGCCTCTGCCCGCTCAGCCCTGGCCTTCTAATTAAGTCTTCAATCAGCATTGTTGTTGTTAGTGGCCTATCCTGTGATGTGGTGCGGCACAGAGGGGGGCTGCAGGGTCGGCGGCCTGATTGAAGTGTGTCTGTAGAAGCCTCACCAGCGAGCTGAGCGTGAGCTAGCTCCCCTCACACGCTGCCAATGAGCTCAGAGAGCAGCATGAGAAAAAGGGGGCTATAAACACACACACACACACACACACACACACACACCAGAGTGCTTCACCAGTTCATGCTAATGCTCACATTCACACATGGTCTTCCCACAGCAAAGGACAGTCTCACATGTGATGACCCAGATATCCTATAGACAGATCATTATCATTTTTCTGATATCATCAAATCTTTTCATGAAGATTTTCAATAAGAAGCTGTTAAATGTTGATGTGTGTAGACATGTGGTAATGTGATGGACACATCACCTCGAACTAATCTTATCTAATCTGCGGTGTCTGTAATGCAAATTCGTATCATGCAGCAGCCAATTTACACAGATTTTACTGTATCACGTACACAGCTAGTACAGGGGTCTGGCTCTATGCACGTCTGTTATATTGTCCGCATTGTTCTGTCTCTCTCTGCAGACTATTTCTTTACTAGCTTTTTTCGTGTTACAAACTATTTTTAATTTTTCATTGTTTCTTCCTGTCCTCTCCTGCAGCGCTGTCTGATCGTGGTACAGTGGTACTTGAGGCGGCCATGACCAGCGCCCTGTCTGCTCTCGAGCGTGCATCCTCTGAGAGAGGTCGTGCTGAGGCTGGCTGCCGAGGTTGTGTTCCCTGTCTGTTTCAGGACTGTGGGCAACTGTCTGGGTCCTGCTGTACGTACAATATTACTCTTACTTCCCTTTTGGTTCCTGAAAAACCTTGAGCCTCTTTGTCCAGTGTCACTACAGAATGATTTCTTAGTATCCTTATTAAGATCCCAATTTTTTCATCCAACAGCATCTCCTGCCAGTGCCTTGTCAGAGCCCAGCTGTGACATCATCAGTAAGGCCCAGAAGCTTCAGGATGAAGCACAGCGGAGTTGGGCTCTGAGCCAGGCCTGTGCATACTACCAGCATCGCTGCCCACCTGGTGTACTGGACAAGGAGAGCTGCATCAGGATCATGGGGGAGAGTTGCAGTGCCCGAGTCCTCCAGTGCAGCCTGCTGAACACAATGCAGAACCTGGAACCTGCTACTCAGACACATGCACAGGGTAAGAAGATTTGTGTGATTCATAAATGTTATTCTGTTTGCTCACACGGAGAAGAGTTTCTTGACCATCAGTGTTTCTCCGTCCCTGTAGCGGTGTGCGGTCAGAGGTCGTCTGCGGTGCAAAACATCACTCAGCCTCGCTCCAGGATTGTGGGCGGCTCCCCTGCTCCTCCAGGCAGCTGGCCCTGGCTGGTCAACCTGCAGCTAGATGGCGGCCTGATGTGCGGAGGGGTTCTGGTAGACAGCTCCTGGGTGGTCACTGCTGCACATTGCTTTGCAGGGTAAGCTGCATGTGTTACTGTCTCCTGTAACTGAAGCAGAGACTTTATTTTGTTTAAATCATTTGAAATGATTGTAGAAAAAAAAATTCTCCTTCTCACTCCCTGTTGTTCTCATTGTTCCATCCTCTTAGCAGTCGCAGTGAGAGCTACTGGACGGCCGTAGTAGGGGAGTTTGACATCACCAAGACTGACCCTGATGAACAAGTTCTTAAAGTGAACCGCATCATCCCTCATCCGAAGGTAACAACTGCCCAACTGGTCGAAAATCCAGATCAATCAATCAATCAATCAATCAATCAATCAATCAATCAATCAATAAAACTCTCTCCTCCTTCCACAGTTTAACCCAAAGACATTTAACAACGATATAGCTCTGGTGGAGCTGACATCACCAGTGGTCCTGTCTGAACATGTCACTCCAGTGTGTCTGCCCTCTGGCATGGAGCCCCCTACTGGCAGCCCGTGTCTGGTGGCAGGCTGGGGCTCCCTCTATGAGGGTGAGTGGAGGATATAAACTCTCTTTAAAGTTAATCGTGGATCAGTTTCCTGCAAACAAAATGAAATGCCATCTGTCTAAATATTAAAATCTGTCAATACTCTAATAATAGTTCTGTGTGTATATTTTCATAAATAGATGGGCCGTCTGCTGATGTCGTGATGGAGGCCAAGGTTCCCCTGCTGCCTCAGAGCACCTGTAAGAGTGCCCTCGGCAAAGAGCTGGTCACCAACACCATGCTGTGTGCTGGCTATCTCTCTGGAGGCATTGACTCCTGTCAGGTGAGAGAGTTAGAGTCACCTTGTTTAATATTAGGGATTTTTGTAAATAAAACCAGATTTTTAAATATTTGGTGGATTTTTTCTCGTCTGTAGGGAGACTCTGGAGGTCCCCTGATCTACCAAGATCGAATTTCTGGTCGCTTCCAGCTCTATGGCATCACTTCTTGGGGAGACGGCTGTGGAGAGAAAGGCAAGCCTGGAGTCTACACACGGGTTTTTGCTTTCTCTGACTGGATTCAGGCCGAGATACAGAGTGAGTTTCAACCAGCATCAAAACACCAAACTTACATATTTTGACATACAGCCTACAGTATATCTACATGTTAAAATACTTTCTATAACACTACCGTCAATGGTGATGTTTTTCAAAGAGTCGTTTGGGAGCCGAGAGCCAACGTGTCCAGAGCTACTCAAGACAACAGAGATGACAGAAGAGGAACAAAGATCAGAATTCAGCTCCTTATGTCACTTCTACACCCTGACCTGTCCCCGGGGTCAGTCTGCCAGCACTTGCAGCCGCATGGCCGAGGACAAATGCCTCACCCGCTTCAAGAAATGTCGTAAGTAAAGGTTAAATCACTTGTGGTTGTAGAACAAAAGCTTACTTACAATATACGATACAATCTTTCATTAGTCTTCTGCTGTAATGCAAGGTTCTGATCATCTCTTCACTCTCTGTCACCTAGAGATGCGTTCGTTCCTGCAGACCCTGCTGGATCTCCTCCAGAGAGCTGAAGACTACATCAGGGACAAAGTGGACTTGACCTTCTTCACCCAGACTCTACCTCAGCTGGTGGAGCACATCTACAGCACAGCTTTCACTCACACCAGAGAGAGGAGAGACCTGGGGCTGAGCCAGTGTCTCACACAGATAGAAGGTACATCAGTGGCCACTTGTTGCAGTACAAATGTAGAGAGAACTCATAGATAGATGAGAATGGCATGCAGAAGAGTCTCCTTAAATTCTATCAACCTGCACCAAATTTCACACACTCATAGATATCAGCCTCTTAAATGTGCCAGATCAAATTTAACAGGCTCTTTCCTGATCCAAACTTCCTCCTTCCACCAATTTTCCTGGTAATCCATCCTAGTCGTAGTTTTTGTGTAATGCTGCCAAATAACAGACAAACTAACGCAGATGAATTCTGGCAAAATGTGCGTTTTTGGTTACTATTATAACAGGTGCTTTATTACTTGCAGAACAGCTTGGTGGAGCTGTGGTGCCTGAAGAGCTGGGTCCCTCACCACTGCCTCCGGCCCTATTCAAAGAGGTGGGCCCTTTGGTGGACGACTGGGAGAAATACCTGAGGAACGTGGCTGAGGACCTGGACAAACAGCACACTGACACATCCACAGACATCTCCTCTGCACCAGCATCACAGGAGCACAACATTTTCTCACAGGTAGATGTGGTTTGGGGGTGGATTTCTAAAATGTCAGAAATAAAGATAATGTTGGATCATGAAGTTGTCATGTCACGTGTCTATCTATCTATCTATCTATCTATCTATCTATCTATCTATCTATCTATCTATCTATCTATCTATCTATCTATCTATCTATCTATCTATCTATNATTATTAAGTTAATTGCTGGTTATATCCGGTTTTTGGCTTCTTGATGACACTGTTACATTCACACAAACAGACTCTTCTGTCAGTTACATCACATTTAGGAACATAAACTAACACATGACAGAAAACTGTTCTGGAGTTGTGTCCAACACGAGGAAGAGAGCAGATAAAGTGAAGAAGAAGAAGAAGGAGGGACAGTGTGGTCCCTGAACTCACCACAGAGCTCAGCAGCAAACTACACGTCTGTCCAGGATCAATATCACACGAACTGTGTGAGTCGATGTGTGTGAGAGAGCGAGAGAGGGAGGGAGGGAGGGGGAGGGAGAGCTCAGTCGGCCCGCTCCATAGACTGTATGGCCCGCTCACACTCTTTCTCCTCCTCCTCTTCCTCCTCCTCCTCCTCTGTCCGGGCACCTCCTCCTGCCTGCCTCGCTCCGAGAGACGTTCACTGTTCACTGTGAACTATTTGTCAGACTCCACCCATATGACTGTGAACATCTATCTATCTATCTATCTATCTATCTATCTATCTATCTATCTATCTATCTATCTATCTATCTGTCTGTCTGTCTATCTATCTATCTATCTATCTATCTATCTATCTATCTATCTATCTATCTATCTATCTATCTCTCTATCTATCTATCTATCTGTCTGTCTATCTGTCTATCTGTCTGTCTGTCTGTCTGTCTGTCTATCATAAACCCTTGATGTTTATTTTAAGCAAATCTTTTCATCCAACTGTATTCTCATATCTCCAGACGGAAGACTCCTCTGTGCTTGAGCTAGAGGGACAATATCGATCCATCATCTCAGCTCTACGCTCCAAATTGGACTCTAGAGCTGCCCCTCCCATCATGCACCTGGACACAACCTACCTCCAGAAAGAGTCTCCCATCGTTTCCCCCTTCCCAACGTCTTCTCCCGGGAAGCCGCTCCACGCCGCTTCCTCGACCGAGGAGGAATCCCCAGAGCCGTGGTCACTCTTAAAAGCCTTGATGAACGAAATTGAAAAATTGAGAACACAAGATGAGATTGTGCCAAAAGATGCGTCTCAAGGTGAAACCTTCTCGAGTAGAGATGCTTTTCCTGATGTAACGTGGAGTGCCACGTCTGAGGATTTTACTTTTGTTGGGACTGAAGATGGAACAGATTTACAAACTTTAGTGTCAGCACTTCCAGTTCACCCAACAACTACTGTCCAGACAGTGACTGAGGGCGACCACAGAGAAATGACGGTTGACCCCAGACAAACTGTGAATGTTGTAAAGGCTCAAAGTCTTCAGCGGAAGTACAGGAGCCTTCTACGCAAGAGGCAGATACCTGGAGCGAGTGGGAAAAGTATGTGTCACACCCAGTTCATTCATACTTTTACATTCTTTATGAATATGCCATGTTCCATGTTCTTTCTCTAATAAAACATATTTCTATTTGTCCTGTAGTTTGTCCTGGAGTGAGAGAATCCTCACAGCAGGTCAGCCAAGTCAGAGACTCATACAGCTGGGTCCTAAACATCCCAAACAAAAACCTGCGTATGAATTTCCAAGAGGTAAATTATCCCAAAAAGATGTAGAAGTTAATAAGAACTGAATTACACTGGTGAATCGTTTAATTACATCTTAATTGCTCTTCTAACTGTGTCTGTGTCTTTTATTCAGGTGTTAGTTGATCTGAGCTCGAAGAACGATCGAGGACTCTACCAGGCACGGGTCAGGGCACTGGTGGGAGGACGACCTTTAACCTTCTACAGTCTCGTCGGCCTTGAGAATGAGTCATTCTACCGAAGTGTACCAAGGATCATTGCTATGGCACTGGAGGCGCTCAAGACTTGATTTCTCGTGACAGTGAAGTGAGATAACTTGAAGGTAAAAGACATGGAGACGATGGCACAAACACTCAGAGAGACGTGTGTGAAAAGCACCAGGAAATCCCTGTCGCGGGACGCAGAGACGCACACACACAAAAGAAAGTGCACATCACAGGAACTAAACTTCTCCTGTGAAAAGCATCGTTTTTGTTTTAGCCTGAAATGAAAACACAGCCATGAATGTATCGACCCAACTATCGACCGCCCATCACGCCGCAGGTTTTTTTTCTTTTTATTTACGTGGTTGGAGACATAACCATGTCTGACTTAAGAATCTGTACAAAATGATAAGTTATTCATATTGTCATTGTCTTTTGCAAAGGTTGAGCCTGTTGTGATGCACTCACACTGTATATATTATTCATGTTATCTTTATTCCTACCATATTTATTTGTATAGAGAAAAATTCTTTGTATTTTTGTAAAAAAAATCTATATATATATATATATATATAAATAAAATTGTTATAATGCTATGGCATGTTGTGTTGAATGTATCGGTGATGTCGTTCTACATTGAGCTTCTAATCTAAGAGTTTCACATTAGCCGACACTAATGCTGCTTATCCTGAGGTATTTGCAGTTCTGTCGAGATCCAAACTTTCTCACTTGAGATGCCTTTGATGCTGATTGGTTCCTCTTATCATGACCCGCGATTGACCTCAAACCCTCTAAGGTTAATCGTAGCCATAAACACAGCAGCTGCTGTGCTGGCGGTACGTCTCTCCCTGTCTTTATGGTAACTGACCTTTACAGTCTCTTATTGTCTGTCAAAACATTGTAAGTGCAGACAACTGTTGCTCGAGGATCTGACACTCTTGCCCCATTTTAGCTTTGTTCATGACCCGTGTCCGCCTAACCGTGGTAACCAGGTCTCTACGTCCGATTGGTCCAGGCAATGATGATGAACCCAAATAAACCTTAGTAACTTCAAAATTAAAGTCTGCCCACTAATCGCTGTCCGTTTTTTGCTTGGCTCAAGTCCCAACAGAAAGATAAACAGGGATATGAGTGAAACAGCTGTGTAAACACACAAACACACACACACAGACACACACGCACACACACACRCACACACACACACATACATTTGTTGCAACTCATCAACTCTTGTCCCTGACTTGGGTGTCAATATGTTTGTGTGGGAATTGGGTTGTATCATTGCAGGATCAAGTATTTTTGTGACTCACACACTGACACACACACAGTTGTTTCTCCATGACTTCAGATCACATTACATTGACTTATTGACTTCCTGGAAACTTAAACTACTTTTAACCATAGTTATGACTTGCCTAACCCTAACTTTAACCTAAACCTAACTTTAATATAAGTCTAACCTTAACCTCAATCTAATGATTTACATTATGGGGATGTTTTCCCATAATGTGACCTTGTAAACTGATGTAGGACCCCACAACATGAGTAATACATGTATCTCTCTCTCACACACACACACACACACACACACACACACACACACACACACACACACACACACAGTAACGACAGGCCACAAATGGGTCAGTAACCTCCACAGAGCCTGATCACTCATCACAGAGAGTGTGCTGTAAATGGATGAGACTTATCACCTGTTCTCTCTTCCACTGTACTTTTTTTTGGCACGCACACACACACACGCATTGTGTTGCTGCTTTCCTTTTCCCAGCTAATCTTTCTTGCCTGTGATCCTTTTATTATAGACAACACATTTAAGTCTAATGGAAAAAGCTGTTTATAGATCGCTGCTCTTAAAGAGTCCACAACTTATCTTATTTTCTCTGTGTGGACGACTGAATGACAGCAGCCAGGTGTGACCAAGAGAATTACAATACAGTGTTTGTTTTGATGGTGTACCTTAACACTGGAGGGCACTCATGGACTGAGTATAATGTGTGTGTGTGTGTGTGTGT